ATGTAATTGCGTATGTCTGTCAAATTCCCAGTCTTTATTTAAATATTTAAAAATACATTCTTTGAAAAGGAAATAAACTAAACTCAGATGATTCAATCTGTGTGTCAGATGAAGATAGAAACATTTCTATTACGTAAGTACGTGCATCTGCTTTGTACAGAAACAAATTTAATTTGCCTTTTCATGATATGTTGGCATTTCCATATGTAAAAAGTCGCATGTGTTCATGCAAATACATATCTTGTAAGAACACCTTTAAAGCCCATATATAGTTGTGTTGGGTTGATTTAAATAATAGGGGGGTACTAGGTTCAAGCATAAAAAGATCCATCAAGCTACCTGGCTGTCTCCGGATCGAAAAACGAGAAACCAAATCGATCATGTTGTGATAGACGGAAGGCACGCTTCCAGTGTTTTAGACGTACGCACACTCCGAGGCCCAAACATCGACTCGGACCACTATCTTGTTGCAGCCAAGATACGCACCCACCTATGTGCAGCAAAAAATGTGCGCCCAAATATGCAAGGAAAGCTTAACGTCGAAAAGCTGCAATCACAGCAGACAGCCAGCGCTTTCGCTACTCGACTCTCACACCTGCTCTCAGAGAGCACTCTTCAACAAACCGACATATGCGAGCAGTGGAACCACATTTCCCGCTCATTAAGTACCGCCGCCGAAGAAGTAGTCGGATTTCAGCGAGCCCGAAAGAACAACTGGTACGATGAGGAGTGTCAGGAAGCTGCAGAGAAAAAAGATACCGCCTACAGGGCCACGCTGCGATCGGGCGCAACGCGCGCTATGTGGGACCGCTATAGGGATCTGAAGAGGGAAGCGAGACGTATTTGCCGCAACAAGAAGAGAGAGGCAGAAATACGTGAGTGCGAAGAGCTTGAAATGCTGGCCGACAGGAGGAATGCCCGAAAATTTTACCAGAGAGTTAGGCGACTTACGGAAGGTTTAAAGACCGGGGCGCACTCCTGTAAGAACAATAATGGCGACCTAGTAACTGATGTCCAGAGCGTACTTAAATTATGGAGGGAACACTTTTCCGCCCTACTAAATGGCAGCAGCACAGAAAGTTGTGGAGAAGAAGAACCCGAGCCCGCAGTCGATGATGACGGAGTCGACGTTCCACCGCCTGACTATGACGAGGTACGTATAGCAATAACGCGGCTGAAAAACAACAAAGCCGCTGGAGCTGACAGCCTGCCAGCTGAGCTATTCAAGTACGGCGGCGAGGAGTTGATAAGGTGCATGCATCAACTCTTGTGCAGAATATGGTCAGATGAACGCATGCCCGACGACTGGAATTTAAGTGTGCTCTGCCCAATCCACAAGAAAGGTGACCCCGCCATTCGCGCCAACTACCGCGGGATCAGCCTTCTAAGCATAGGTTACAAGGTCTTATCGAGCGTATTGTGCGAAAGACTGAAGCCCACCGTCAATGAACTGATTGGGCCTTATCAGTGTGGCTTTAGACCTGGCAAATCCACCATAGACCAGGTATTCACAATACGCCAAATCTTGGAAAAGACCCGCGAGAAAAGGATCGACACTCACCACCTATTTGTCGACTTTAAAGCCGCTTTTGACAGCACTAAAAGGAGTTGCCTATACGCCGCTATGTCTGAATTTGGCATCCCCTCAAAACTCATACGGCTGTGTAAAATGACGTTGAGCAATACCACCAACTCCGTCAGAATTGGAAAAGACCTCTCCGAGCCGTTCGCCACAAAACGGGGTTTCAGACAGGGCGACTCCCTTTCATGTGACTTCTTTAATCTGATGTTGGAGAAGATAATAAGAGCTGCAGAACTGAACCGCTCAGGAACAATTTACTACAAGAGCGTGCAATTGCTGGCTTATGCCGATGACATCGACATCATCGGTAACAAAAACCGCGAAGTCTGTTCTGCCTTTTCCAAGTTGGATAGGGAAGCAAAGCGCATGGGTCTGGTGGTAAACGAGGACAAGACGAAGTATCTCCTGTCATCAAACAAACAGTCAGCACATTCGCGCCTTGGCACCCACGTCACTGTTGACAGTTACAATTTCGAGAAAGTAGAGAATTTCGTTTACTTGGGAACCAGCATTAACACCGATAATAATGTCAGCATTGAAATCCAACGTAGAATCACTCTTGCCAACAAGTGCTACTTTGGACTGAGTAGGCAATTCAGGAGTAAAGTCCTCTCTCGACGTACGAAAACCACGCTCTATAAGTCACTCATCATGCCCGTGCTGGTATATGGCGCAGAAGCATGGACAATGACAACATCCGATGAGGCGGCTCTTGGGGTGTTTGAGAGAAAGATTTTGCGGAAGATTTACGGTCCTTTACGCGTTGGCGACGGCGAGTACCGCAGACGATGGAACGATGAGCTGTATGAGCTTTACAACGACATAGACATAGTGCAGCGAATTAAAATACAGCGGCTCCGCTGGCTTGGCCATGTCGTTCGAATGGACACCGACGCTCCAGCTCTGAAAGTATTCAACTCGGAACCCGCTGGTGGTAGCAGAGGAAGAGGGAGGCCCCCACTGCGATGGAAAGATCAGGTGGAGAAGGACTTGGCTTCACTTGGCGTTTCCAATTGGCGTCAGTTGGCACAGAGGAGAAACGACTGGCGTGCTTTGCTGAACTCGACCAAAATCGCTTAGGCGGTTACAGCGCCAAAAAAGAAGAAGAAGAAGGGGTCTTCATATAAAGTGATAAAGGGATAAATTGCTTAAATTTATCAGTTTATCCGCTTTCTTTCTGGAATGTACCTTAGTAAAAAATTGTTTAATATTTAACTTATCTGGCTAGTTACGTTTCATTCTTACCTCGTCCATTGTGCAAATTTTCTTTTTGTGTTCGTAACAAAATTTACCACCTGGCAACTTTTCAAAGTGGAATTTTGCTGAAATTTATGCGTTTATCCACCAAAATGGTTTGATAAAGTGATAAACGTTGGTTAAATAGTTTTCCATACAAAGTTTGACAGTTCATTTATTAAAATTATAAATTTATCACTTTATAAAGTTTATCAAGAGTTTAACACTTTTGATGAGGACCCTAGTACGTGTTTTGAGTAGTAATTGGCAATGGTAACACTGTTGTTTCATAATGGAGATAAAATACCACCACTGAACATACCCCTCATAAAATGTAAATAAATAGTGAAGCATCGAGTTGTTGCAAGATATTTTAGATTTTTGGTCATGTCTGAATCGACAACACTGCCAGTAGAGTCGACTAGGGCCGAAGAGGACTCCAAATATAGAATAAAAGGTGATAAATAGTAAAAAAAAACATACACAAAATTTGACCTCTAACTTTTCTCATGTCACGTCGTAATAGCGGCCGCGTTCCTGGGGCTGGTTGGTGGTGTATCAGCAATCTTCGGGTTTTCTAAAACGCTTGGAAAAGCAAAAGAGTCACAAGGCAAATTGGTAGCGAAAGGTGGGCGCGACACAGCGGTGTTACTCGAAGAAGGCTCGGTGTTGGCAATGCGCGCCTTTGGATGGGGTAGTTTATACGCAGTTCTTGGTACTAGTGTCTTTTGTTATGGCTTTTGGAAGTTATCGGGAGCAAAAGACGTGAGTTATTTAAAAAAAAAATCTTTGAACTGATGTAACTAAATTTCCTTAAATTAAATAGATGGAGGAGTTTCGCACAAAGATGGGCAATGGTTTGCCAAGGATTACAAAAGATACTCCCCCTACAAGTCGTACTGAGTTTGATTCTCTCACAGACTTCATGAAATATTTGGGTTCCGGTTGCAGAGAATAACGTTATAACAGCACACGATTCAGTTATTAAAGGTTTGCTCACTAGTCGCAAAGTTTTACTGCTAATGTTAACTTCTATACAAGCAATTTACGACGATTGCATTCACCATAACTTAATACAAAATATATTATTTTCTTAAATTCAACAATGTTGAAATTATGGCCCTTATTATGAGCTGCATTCGATTTTCGATCTTCGCTGGCTATCGAAGATCGAAGATCGAAAGTGAAATTCGTATTATGAGCTATGCAAGCGTGTCGAAATTTTCGTTGAGTATCGAATTTTCTGTCGAACAGAATTTTGCTTTCGATGGTGTAGCGAAGTGTTAGAAAATTGTGAAAAATGTATGATTTTGTATATGTTTTCTTACATTTTGGCGGCTAGACACTAATTTTAAACAATTTTTATTAATTTCATGCAGTTCTAACATCGTGAATACTAAACACAAGCTCGAAAGGCTGGTTTTACTTGTGAAAGAAAATCCCAATGCTCTGTTGGCACGATCTCTGAGAACAAAATCGTAGCGCTGTTGATAGTTTTAAAATATTTTAAATAGATTTGGCTCACAAACGCCTCTTTAGATGGTCGGAACTTTTTAATGAATCGGTAGACAAATTTCTTAAATATATTGTATATAAAAATATATTCGAAAGACTAATAAACTTAAATGTTTAAGAGAGCATTTGCTACTCCTGGCCAGTTTACTAAGCTCTCATCCTCTGACGAATCGTTGAACAAGAACTCGTTGTACTCATTTTACCACGTTTTTATAAAATTGCTTTCTTTTTTACTTTATTTTAATTAGAACAAATTTGCATAAATATGTATAAGCACACTATTTAGTTTGCTCGATTTGTAAACAAAGCTTCTCAGCGGTGAAAAATATACTATTGTGAACAACCTAAACGAGCGAAATTCACAATAGCGCTATTCTTCATCGAATGAGCGCCATAATACCAAACGAAAATTCGTTCGCTCAGCACTTTCGACCACAGTCGAAAATCGAATGCAACTCATAATAGGGGCCTATATATATGCCAAATTCTCATCAATTTTTCGTTCCCTTTTAAGAATTGTTTTGTATTCGCATACTTCAATCAGATTTGTTAGATCCGTTTGAAATTTTTCACAATCATCTTCAAGAAAGATATACGCTTTTTGTCGAAACTCGACTGAATTGCGTAAAAATCGCTGTAAATCTGGAGCCTTTTCTAAATAAGCACGCTTTTCAGCTGACAAAATCGTAGTATCGATGACTGGATGAGGCTTAAGTTTAAAAGCTTTTAACTGTTTCATTGAATCACGCCAAAGGGTACTCCATTGTTTAATCTCTTCCTTAAGACGGGCTTCGTGGCTAACACCAAAACGGAGTATTAAATATATTCCAATGTCTGTAGGAAATACCACGTACATACCTTTTGATGTCGAGACTTTCATGATCATCCAGGCCTAATATAAACCAACAAAAATGTGATATGCCTAGTACCCAATAAAAGATTAAACATGCATACATACCATCGTCCAAAGTTAAATTGAAAATGCTCTTGGTTGCGTTTGTTGTGCCATGTGAGGCTTGATTGACCATAGATTCCTCTAGCTCCACAGTAGTCTCCGCTTCCGTATCTGTTAAAATTATGGCTTGCATTCTATTGCTTATTTTTGTTGAGTATATCAAATGAGCAAATCAAAATAGACAAATTTGTTTCGCGCTTGTTTGAATTACTTCTTTGTGATCGGAGAACGTAAATTTATAGAGAAGGACTGAAAACTGTGAATGCCTCATAAATTTACGTTCGCTGGATCTTGGGCTGCCAGATGATGAAAATAATAGAATAAAGTCGCGGGTTTTTATTGAAAATTTTTACTTTATATTGAAATACTGTTTTACATAAAATAAGAACCCCTGGCAAAGTACTGATTATAATAAAAATTTTATTATATATCGAATTATCGATTTTTATAAAAAAAGAGCCGCAGGTGAAATTTTTATAAAAAACTCATTATTTAAAGAAGCATTGCAGTTTTTAAGCACGGCAAGCGAAAGTTTGTAATACCATTTATTCATTTCATTTCATTCATTTATAACGAGTTGTCTCTTTTCAGGGGCACGCCCTGTTACTCACTTCCGCTACATTTATTACGAGTTGTCCCTTCTTGTTATCTACGTTCTTTGATATAACTTTATAATATGTACATCGGCGTAGCCAGAATGAAATTTAGGGGGGGACTCGACCCTATTAAGCTGGGATTACAGGGTACTCTTTTATATATATATAAGGAAAATTTGAAAGTTAGGGGGGGGGCCTCGAGCACCCCCGCTCCTACCTGGCTACGCCCATGAATATGTACATATATAGCAAGAATAATTTACGATTTCTCAGAATGAATTATATTAAGTAATTAACCAATTTAAAGAATAAAAATCGACTCAACAAAAAGCCATCGGCATTTCGTTGTCTAACACAAAGAACGTAAATGTATAAGAAGCGACAACTCGTTAAAGTCGGCGAGTGAGGTCTGAAAGGTTGAGATGAGGAGTTCGCGTCCGTTTTAACATCCATTTTCGTAAATGAATTCGCCGCTCATATGGTTTCGCGGCGATAAAGAACGTTAAGAAAAAGTGACCGATGATAGAAATAATAAAATGAAATGAAAACAAACATGGCCGCAGCTCTTTTTGATTATTTGCTGACGGCATTTAACAATTTGCATGCGCATGTGCATAGATTTACTTTATTTTATAATTTTAAACAAATATAAGTAAATTAAATACATGCGCTATGCAAGACCTTTATAAGCTTTCTCTTTAGTATGGAAGTTGTAAAGTTGTAATTTATGGATGAAATTACCCTTTTTATATCAACCAAATGTACTTTTATAATCAATAAATAATTTACATCAATTTGTGCAAATGTACTCTTGCGATTTTCCTCCTAACATGTGTATGTTTCTACATCCATGCAAATATACGTACATACGTACATATGTACATATACGCATATGCCTCTAAAATACAACAATAACAAATTCATTCATAAACGCATGCGCATATTCTTCAAGGTCAAACTCATTCATTCATAAATTCAATGACCATACATCTCCCCGCAAACTCATCACCGACAAGCGCAACTTCTGCGCGAGAGCCACAAAAACTCTAAAATGTAAAATTGAAGAAATCACAGCCAGTCAAATGAAAAGTTGCAACTCCGCTGTAAAATCTGAGGACATTTGCAAAAATAACTTATCTCGAGCTTAGCCATTATTTCTCTAAACTTCTAAATCACAGTGCTCCTTCTAACTTTTAAACTATTAATTAGTTGCTTAAGATTTTATTTTAATAAAAAACAAAATAAACATAAATTTTTTGCACAAATGGCCCATGATATTTTGATGTAAACTCAAAACTTCTAAAATCATATACATAAGTGGTTTTACAACAAATGTAACTTGGCAGCATGGTTGCCTCCACCAGCTTCGGTCTTCAATTTTAAAATTTTTGTAAACCGATCGCTTACGATTTGTTTACAGTTAACTCTAGATACTACGAGCAACATGTATACGAATTCAAAAAATTCAATTATTTTGCATTATTGATAATTGTAAAGCTCTGAAGCATGTATAAGTAAGTGTATACATACATACCTATTCTGCGTTGGTAACACAAATATTGTTTACTATCACGAAAAGATTCAAACACAAAATCGTACATTAACCTATTCTGCGTTAGTAATCAGATTTTTTTAGCGCATAATAAAGCTCCTCTCTTTGTTTAAACCCTTTTCGCATTCTGCGCACTTTTGTAACCAGTAAAATTTGTTACCATGAACCAAAAATACAGGATCACGTAAGAACGCGGCGTTGTATTTGTAACTGGTTTTGAGAAAAAAGTTTGCGAAAGCGGGTTCGTCAGCTGAGCGTTTGTTTACATCACAAGCACCACTATTTTACACTTTTATTCAAGTAAAGAAGAGTTAATTCAACATGACAACACATTTTAAATCATTTTGTTGCATCATTTTACCTAAATTGTGCGTTTAAAGTGGCTGACAATAATTTTGGCTAATTTTGGTTTTCGTTGTTTTCTTTGCTTTGTTTACTTTTCGCTCGTTTTCCAGTGAAACAAGATGGCGTAGAAACCGCTAAAAAAATCGACTTTTTTCACTCCCTTGTTCTTACGTGGTCTTGTGTCTTTCGTTCATGATTTGTTACCATCTCATAAGTAGGTAACAAAATATTGCCCCATGAAATATGCAACAACAGAATTTCTACAAAACTTCATACCTGGAATGCTGAATAAATTAAAACGTTACCTATAATTGCGGTTACAAGAAGTGCTAACAATGTTTGGTAACAAAATTTGCTGGTTACAAAATATTCGGTAACAAGCAGATTAGAGCTACAGGAATTCAAGTTAGGAGTAGCCTACTGTAAACGTACATATGTATGCGCGTAAATATGTCAGGACGCGGCATTTTGCAGGAATTTAAGAATTTGTCAAGATAAAGATGGCGGAGGACGTGGGAGAGACGGAGACAACTTATGTTTCACATTTACGCGTTTGTTTTGGCGGAGGATGTGAGAAAGATGGAGACAACTCATGTATCACATTTATGTGTTTATTTTTTGCATGCATATGAACAAAAAATTGGAAAACATTTGTTCTTGCCCGATAATAACAAAATGTATGCATACTCATGTATAAATGCATAGATTTAAATTAAACTTATGCCATCCCTTTATAATAAACATTGGTTTTGCTAATAAAGCCGCCATATACACACTTTATTCACCCAATCGCCCGACACAACTTTTTTTGCACACTTTAAATATGTAAATTTCCAGATGAAAACAA